GATAGATAGATAGATAGATAGATAGATAGATAGATAGATAGATAGATCACAAATTAGTATATAATATATACTCATATATAATACATATATTTAAATTAATTTATGTTAAAATAATAATATTTGTCTTACATCTGAGAGGCTAAGAACCTCAGTTCTCAAGGCTAGCTGCCTCATTCGTACCAACCTGGCACAGAAAGCCTAGAAAGTTCTTGGAGAGCCACAGGTCCTGAAGTCCATGAAACTAGTTCTGGTATCTGCCATGGAAGCAGCAGCAACAACAGGGTGAGTCAACTCAGCTACAGGAGGCAAGCCATGCGGGCAAAAGACAGGTTATTCTCTTTCTGCCAAGCCCTCTTTATCTGGGCAGCCACCAGAAGGCACTGCCCACACCGGGAGTGGGTATCGCCACTCTCATTAAAGCACACACAATTCGGCTCTGAATCCAGCTCATGTAGAATCCTACATGAGGAAAATCAAAGTGGGTGCGGTAGTACAAGCTTTTGATCCCAGCACTCAGGAGACAGAGAGAGGTGGATCTCTGAGTCCGACCGAGGTCAGCCTGGTCTACATAGTGAATTACAGGACAGCCAGGGCTATGTAGAGAGACTCTGTCTCAAATAAATCACTAAATCGATCAATCAATAAACATATTTTTTAAAAAAATAAAAATAAATTGTTTTATTTTGCAGACTTTTCTTTTTGATTTGGCAGTTTTTGTTCTATTGGGGTTTTTTTTTACTTGTTTTGATTTTCATCTTTTGCTTTGTTTGTTTTTGTTTTGTTTTAAGGACATGAAGTTGGGTGGATAGGTCAGGAGGTCAGGGAGATGCAGGAGAAGTTGCAAACGAGGAAACCATGATCAAAATATATTGTCTGAGAAAAAAATTTCAAATAAAAAATACGGAAAAATTCAGCAGTGAATAAAAGAATAAAAGATGCTGTTTCTGGTAAGTCAACCATGCTTCAGCAGAAGGCCACACTTCCAAGAATAATGGGCAGCACAAACTGGACTAGATGGATGGGGCAGGGGACACTGAGTTGGCCGGATAGGCATGGGGTAACTTGGGAGGGGTTGGGGGAGGGGCGAGCATGACAGAAACACACTGTACAAAACTTCTCAAACTAATTTTAAAATGCAGTAGCTAATTAGCTGAAATGACAAGCCTTCCCAAGTGCTTTGTTCAGTAACTCCTCATTTTCAAGTCATTATGGGGACAGGCAGGACCCGAGTCTCACATGGCAGGATGGGAATTGTCACCGCAATTACTGGCTTTTGCATGCTTGTCCAAGATGCTCAGAGATCTATGAAGAAAGGGAGCAGAAGGCTTGCAAGAGCCGGAGGTGGAGGGTGACTCCAAGGAAACGGTCTTCCAGACACAACAGAAGCAGCCGTCGGCACCATCGCAGAGTTCGAACGTGCAGCTGCCCACACTGCTGCCTTCAAACACCCACGGCCTCTGCCTTTTACATCCTTGATGAACGGACGGCGAAAACGTGACATATCCACACGATGGAATATTATTTAGCTATTAAGAAAGATGAAATCATGAAACTCACAGGTAACGGGTGGGGCGGGAAACAATCATTCTGAATTAAGGAGCCCAGGCTCAGAAAGATAAAGATCCCACACTTTCTCTTGTAGGTGGTAGTTTTGAATCTTCTAGCAAGTGCACTATTGCCTTTGGAATATCCACAGAGGTCAGGAAAACAGTGAGAGGTGGGGTGGGAGCAGATTTCGAAGCAGGAGAGATAGCTAGCCACTTCCGTTTTAAAGAGAAGTTTGGTTTCCTTTTTCACGAGTTTTTTGCGTAAGCTGTTACAAGGCTCTGTTTAGCTCAGCCAGATAATCTTAATCCCGGGTGTGGCTAGATGGTACCCATGTGGTGCGGAGACAGGTCCTGTGCGCAGGCCTCAGGTCCCTCCCTGTGCTATCATGCGGATTCCTTAAAGACCCTGAAAACCAAACACTAAACAAATCCAGTCCCATAAGAGGAATAAAAGCATGCTTAAAGGAATTCAGCCCATGTGTCTAATAAAAATCAGTGGTAACCTTTCCAGATGTATTGGAATATGATGTATTGAACAATACTTTCACTGTTTTCCCTCGAATCCTTAAGGGAAATTTCTCTGGCGCACTCTCTGAAGAAAAATCAATACATAATGGTTTTTGTTTAGCAAGTAGGAAAAACATACAGCGTTGCCTACGTTTACAGGAAAGATGAGGTGCTGTGGGCACATGTGGGCAGGGCCAGTGCAAATACAGCAAGCCAGATAATAACCGGGTTAATCTGACTTTTACCATCAGGGTCTTGTTTCCTGAGTAGGTGGCAGGCCTTGATTAGCTGACCCGTGAATGACCTTCTTAGACTGTGTAAACAAGGTCAAACAAGTGACGTCACCGGCCTGAATGAATGAGTGATTAAAAGTAGTTATCCCGCCCACACTTGGATTTGAACAACTTCTTAGGGGAAATAAAATCTCTCTCTCTCTCTCTCT